CTGTCCCTCCCCTATTTCCCCCCAACTGACCCCAGTGTGTAGTGCTCCCCTCCCTGTGTCCATGTGTTCTCATTGTTCAACACCCGCCTATGAGTGAGAACATGCGGTGTTTGATCTTCTGCTCTTCTGTCAGTTTGCTGAGAATGATGGTTTCCAGGTTCATCCATGTCCCTAATATTTCCCAAATCTTATCTCTGGCTCTTAGCTTTCCCTTGAATGGCAAACTCCTACTGACATTGCCACATTAATTCCCAAAACTTATCTCAAATTAAAAAGGCAAAAACTCAAGTTCTGGTCCTCTTCCACCATTCCCTATGTCAGCAAATACCACTTAGCTGCCTGTTACAGGTTGGATTACCCATTCTAACATGGAAATTAGCTTGCAGGAAGTTTATTAGGAAATACTCTCAGGACCAACAACTGTGGAGGAAGGAAGGAAATGAAATTGGGGAAATTTTACAAATTCAATAAAGACCTCAGCTGACTGACCCCACAAGGAGCTCCAAAACTGAGATGATCCTTCATAGTTTTCATGGGTTTGGACAAGCCTTTATCCCTTCCTATCAACCAATCATTGGATATGGGCTGCCCCAGGTAAGAGAGTGACCTTGGGTGAGACAACTCTTTTCCAGCAGCAGATCCTAGAGATAGCTGACAGCTGAGTAGTACTCCCAAGCAGCTAGGACAATAGTTTTCAGATTTGAATGGAGATCTGTTTGCTGTATCACAGCGTCCACTGTAGTCCACACTGTACTTCATGGAACATACACCTATTGTTTTATAAGTTCAAAGGAAAACTTGTAAGAGGGAGGTTAGTAGAACAAACTATAGTGCATACCTCTGTAACTGGTCAGAAGACCACACGTAGACTCATCATCTCCCTTTACTATCTATTCTAAATTTCCCTAACCTGGTGATACGATGGAGAACCACCAGGACTTAGGAGGGAAAGTAAGCATAACTTCCTCAAGAGGGACACTGGGAGTGATGATAAGTGTGGTCACTGCTCTTTTGCCCCCTTGGACTGGTGTAATTTTTCCACATGGTAACACAGCACCATAAAATGGTTGTTGATATAGAATATAATACTGCATCTGTAGGATGGCACCTTACCTTTGCAAGGATTTGTCTCCAAACTGGCACCTCTGCTGTGCCCTTAGTAAACCATTCCATTGCTCTATTGGCCAGCATCTTCTACATAGTGCAATATGTGTCAGGACTGTGAGATCTTGTTGTCATGTGCCCTCTGCCACAGTAACTTTGCTATAAATTGGGTCGCTTGGTCTAATACAGTATTATGTATAATCCTTTGTCAGTAGATAACAATAAATCCTTGGATAATGGTGCTAAGTTTCTGTGAGCAAGAAAGGCAAACCCATATATAGTATATGTATATAGGTCAGTCCAGAAGAATCTATATCCCTACCATTGTAAAGGACATCTAGTGTCATTAATTTACCAACTTAGTGATTGGTCTTTGCAAATTATAGTGCTGTATTAGAAGCTCGGTGTTTATCTCTGCTATTGGCAGCTCTAAGAGCTAGATCAGCCTGGGTAAGTAGGAGCCCATGCTGTTGGGCCCATATACAATCTCCATCTGTGCCAGCGTGTCTACTCCATTCATGTGCCCATTGTGCCATTGGAGTCGCCTATGATCAAGGCTAGCAGTCTTCCACAAGCCACATCATTTGACTGCCTAGTTATTTAGTGCTGATTCTGTGTTGAATGCTTTCTGGTGGCTGTTTAACATGAAGTACCCAAAGATCTTGACAGTTTATGCTACCCCCATAGACTCATCCAGAAGCCTCTCCCCCAGAATTTCTTGCTCTTAATTTTTCTGTCTGTTTCTTGGCCTCTGACCAATTGGTCAAGCCATTCACTACTTCTTATGAATATATTCCAACCATAGGCTACTTTTCTTTCTATACAATCTGAATAATGAGGTACACACATGTAAAGCAGCTAAAATAGTTCTTAGAAATAAATGTAGAGCACTAAGAACCTCCATTAGAAAAGAAAAAAGGCCTCAACCTCACCTTCTACCTAGAAACTAGGGAAGAAAGAACAGTTAAAACCAAAGTAAGGTTCTGGCTAAAGCAATAAGACAACAAAAGGAAATAAAAGGTATACACATTGGGAAGGAAGAAATAAAACTGCCTTAGTTTGCAAATATCTACTTAGACAATTCAAAAAAAATGACCAACCCCCAAAAAAACACAGTGTACCAATAAAGGATTATAGCAAG